CTCAGCTTTCTCAGCTTCATCCTCTCCCCCTTTCGTTCTTCGCGGAAAGTACACCCAGCCGCTATTGTCGGCGCTAGTTGCGGCGCCCCATCCGCCGCTGGCGTTGGCCCAGGTTCCGCCGCCTGTCTCCCCAGCCGCTAGTGTCACTTGTTCCCTCTGTTAAAGTTTAGAAGAAAGAAAGAGGGGTTGCACTAGCAAGAATGGGGATACAAATAGCAAACCCTAGAAGGGTTGTACTCGCTATAGAGCACCCCACTACAGGCTAGAGCATGAGATAACATTCTGACACACCCCCATAGCCAAAGTGGGGTTAATCAGCAGAGCAAACAAAGCAGTACAAGCTCAGGGTGGATCACAATGTCACCACACATTCTGAGCACAAGTTCAAGAAGCAATAGTTTAAAGTTCACAATTATGAGCAAAGCTAGTGGTAGTCACAACGGGCAAGTGAGGAGGAGGAGAGAGAGTGAGAGGAGAGGAGATAGGAGGCGACGGCTGAAGCTGCAGACACACGGGCAACAGGAGGCAGACTGGCACAGCGGCTACCAGGCGAAGCCCACGGAATACTGGAGTAACGGACCCTACGGGCGGCTGGCACAGCTGGCTACGACTGGGCTACCGGACGAAGTCCCCGGAATACAGGTGCTGCTGGCGACACGACAGCAACCTCCATTCAGCTTCCCCAAACTATCCCACTTCCCCTGGCACACACCCGCTGCTACACCGCTAGCTCCACTCCCACGCACCCCCCTTAAACCCTAAACCCCAGTCTCCCACACATCCACCCCCCTCAGCGACAGCTTGCAGCAGTGGGAGACGAAGGAGGAGGAGGAGCCAAAGGGAGGAATGAAGAAGTGCCACCCCCATACGCGCCACCCCCTACGTGCAACCCCCAAACCCTAACACAGGCAGGGTGGGATGGCGGGTAGGAACGGGGTGGATGGCGGCGCTCGGCCCCCCTCCCCCAGGCGGCCCCGACGGGAGCCGCGACGGACGACGGGAAAAGGGTGCCCGGGGCGCAAGTAGGGCGGCGGGGCCGCAGGTGTAGGGCGGCCGGGCCGCGAAGTTGGGGCGGGCCGGGGCCGCGACAGAAGGGCGGCGGGGCCCGAAGTGGGGCGGCGGGGCGCGAACGTAGGGTGGCGGGGGCCGCGAAATGGGGCAGCGGGCCGCAAAGTGAGGCGGCGGAGGCCGCGACTTGAGGCGGCGGGGCCGCGAAGTGGGTCGGCCGGGGCCGCGGCGGGTCCCCGTCGCCCGTCGCGGCGCCACCATGAGGGCGACGCGGCGATCGACGGGGCAGAAGCCCGCCGCGCGCCTCGGGGCGCACAGCGGGCAGAAAACCCGCCGCGCTCCTCGGGGCGCACGACGGGCAGAACAACCGCCCGCGCGCCTCGGGGCGCACGGCGGGCAGAAAACCGCCGCGCGCGTCGGGTGCGAACGGCGGGAAGAAAAAGTTGCAGCGGAAGCGAGGAGGTGGTAACCCACCCACAGGATCGATCCAAGGGGATCGACCTGCTCTGATAGCATGTTAAAGTTTAGAAGAAAGAAGAGGGGTTGCACTAGCAAGAATGGGGATACAAATAGCAAACCCTAGAAGGGTTGTACTCGCTATAGAGCACCCCACTACAGGCTAGAGCATGAGATAACATTCTGACATCCCCATCCTCCAGTGCTCCCCCACCCCCCTTCATTGGAGGCACTTTCTTCAGCCTCAAGCTCCCCAGGTGGCGCAGGCGAAGGTCCCACGTGCTGCTTCCTGCGAGGCTCTGTTGGCGAAGCTCCTCAGCTTCGCGGCGCGCCAATTCTTCCTCTTGCTCGACGGTAAGTTTCTTCGATGAGTCGCGTCGATGAGAGTAGATGGCCAGAAACCTCTCGTAGGTGTAGGGTCGCGGCTCACCATGGGCATCAAAGGTGCCGACGCCAGTTCCCGCGCAGCATGCCTTGAAGGTGCTGTGAGGGGGGACCGATGAGGGGATGCTATCGGCGTGCCGAAAATGCCGTGGGTAGTAACTTCAAGCTCGAGCTGCGACACATCCCTTCCTCTGGGGGCGCGTGGCGCTCTGCTTCAATGATGGCGGCGAGTCCCGCGGCCGGCAATCGCGCTCGTTGATGTCGTCGGCAGTGTAACAATCCTGCAGATGCCATCTTGGATTGGGGTTGTGTAATGCCGTTTCGCGTGGGTGGGGAATGATGCGGCACCCATGGTCTGCCGTCAGGGTGCTTCCAATCCCTGCGGTGGATGTGCTCGAAGCGCACTGGCACGAGATCAATCAACTCGTGCGAGTCGCCGGTGCAGTCGGAAATGTCGAAATCTAGGACATACACTCCATTTGCGGAGTGCGCTCGTCCGATCTGCCTGCGGGGAAATGTGTGCGATTCGTAGTGCAGCAGGATGTCTCGCGTCTCGCGATCCGTGCTGAGGTCGACGCCGCACTCCATGAGCGTGCGGCGGGACAGGAGGTTGAAGCGCAAGTTCTGGACGATCAGCACATTCGTTAAGCGTGATGTGCGTGCGGCTTCCACGTGCTTTGAGTACGACAATGCCTTATGCCCTTGCACGCAGGCGCGTGTTGTTTGCGACAGTGACGTAAGTGACTGTAGGGTGGGGACGGCGTTGATATGTAACGCTCGGCGCCCACCATATGCTGGCCGCAGCAGCTGTTAGGTACCAGGTGTTGTAGCGCTTGTTTTCGTCACGTGCGAGCACCGCCAATCGCGGTGGTGACGATGTGCGGGGTGTCAACTTCAGAAATTGCTCGCAGCCGAGAGCCAACCTGAAGTGGCGCCACCCGCATGTCTGGTATGTGCGGGGGACTTTTCGAGCAGCGGGGCCTGGGAGGTTCCAGTACTTGGTTCGTCGTCGTCGTTGTAGTCGCAGGCGCGGGCCTGAACGGGTTGTTGTTGGTGAACGCGCCGATGGGGTGTGGTGCTGGCTCAGGTGAGGGTGAGCGAACACTGGCGACGACGTGACTCGCCTGTCATGGCCATGTTGCTCATGACGTTGCGCGTAGGGGCAGTTGATGGCTGCTGCTGCTGCTGCTGAACGGTTGAGTTCAGATTGCGCGCGGGTGGGGGTCGATACCCTTGAGCTGGGCGCACGTCGCCTCGTGCGTCTTGTCGGCCGGACCAGTTGCTCGGATTGGTCTGGCGAGGGCGAGATCGGAACTTACATTGATCCGCCAAATGCCCGAAGTTTCTGCAGATTTTGCAGTAGAGGCATCGCGGTCGTCGCTCTTCGTTGTTGTCGGCGTAGAAGGCGAGCCGTTCGCGTTCTCGTCGTGGGGCTGGTCGCTGCTGATCCATATCCTGTTGTTCGACGAGAAGGGCGGCGCAAGAGCGGCCTCCGAGATGACCCCCTGCTGTCGGAGGAGCGCCTTACAGGGCCGCCACTCTGGGCCAAGCCCTCGAAGCACGATGTTCACGAAGATTTCCTCGGAAATCGAGCTTCCCAACTTCACGATTTGATCGCGAAGGCTCTGAGAGCGGTTGATGTAGCTGTTGACTTTCTCCCCTGAGGTAATCTTAGTTTCCAGCCGTTGCTGGAGTTAGTCGGCTCGAGGAGACGGAGTCCTTGGGCTGATACACGCCGTTCAGGTGGCGCCAAGCGTCGAGGGCGGGGCAGTCGATGTCTTGTATGAACGAATGTTCAGCTGCTCCACCGGCGACATGTTACGCAGAAGAATCCCGTACGCCATCAGGGACTCGTCATAATAGCGAGTCCTTGCGTCGTCGGTGTCCTCAGCAGGTCCCGAGTAGCTCCCGTCGAAAGAATGATAAATCTGCGCGTTTTTGCAGCAGCCAGCTCCATCTCGAAGCTCCAGGTGTAAAAGTCTCTGCCGTCAAAGCACACACTTGTCTTTATTTTTATATGCTCAAAACCTTGATTGCGCGGAGAGAATTGCTTCATCGCTGGACAGGGAGTCTTGGGGGTTGAGCCATTCGTATCTAGGGAGAAGCCTTGCGGGCCGGAGTTTTGGCCGTTTGAGGCCGGTTGAGTGGGTTGGGAAGAAGTTCCCGCATCGCCATTCCGCAATGTCTGGAGCCTTTGCTCCATGCTCGTGAGTCGCTGAAGCAGTTGTGCGAGGACGGCGGAAGGAATCGTCGTCGTTTCCTCGTTTGTCGCAAGCCGGGTTGGGCTGTGCTTTAGCCGTCAGATTCGTCTGACCTCCAGATCCTCCGGCCATTCTTACACGTGATCGTGTGCCGGACGCCACTTTCCGAATGTCCGCGGATTTCGGATGATGGCGGTGCAAAGGATTCCTGAGTCGCTCTCATACCATGCTACGATCAGAAATTGATCGTGGCCTAGGATCTACTATGGAAGGTTCGCACGCAGAGAAGTGGTGTTGGTGGGCCCTTGACCTCAATAGCAGAGTGAATGTAAATGCTTTGAGATGATTAAGACATGCAAATACAACGATATAAATAAGAGTACAGGGGAATATGAATCGACCTAGCTAGCCATGTACTCTAAGGGGTACATTCCCTTATTCAAATACATTCCCAACCGTGCGGCTGCGAACAGTTACGAAACTGTTCCCGCCGAAACTATCTTGCCTGCAGCTGCCTGATGCTGTGTGCTCCGACGGTTCAGATGCGTTCCACCTGTCTGACGCTTCGAGTTGTTTCCAACCGTCTGAAGCTTGTGTTCATTCGCGATACTGCGTGCTTCTCTTTGCTGCGGTGAGGAGTGCACAGTAATATTCAAGTATTACTATTCGTAACAGTGACGAGGCCTAAATAGGGGAATTCCTAGATAGGCGGGGAGGTTGGGCGAGGATGGCTCGGTGATGGTTGCGATTGGTGCGGAGGCGACTCAGGAGTGGTTTGGTGCGACGAAATAGGAAGAAAAGGTTCCTCGCGTGACCCTCGGGATGGGCCTCGCTAACGAGTGCCTCAGTAAGGATTAGTAAAATCCTTACAGACGTGTTTCCAGTTACAAAGATTGTGTAACATGGATACAGACTCCAAGTAGAACGAAAGAATGTGCACTTATTCAACAGTTATGCAGGGTTCCACGCATCCTTATTCCCTGCTCTACTGCCATCTCTTCTATTCATCGCCCAGCGCACACCCACGAGCAGACATGCCACCGCCAATGCTGTCACCACAGCTGCAACCACCGCCATTGCCACTGGAGATCCATACACTCCCTTCGCAGTGCTGCTGCTGACACCACTTGTGTTTTCTTGAGTAATCGTGGCGTTGGTGACATTCGAGGCAGGTGCAGGTACAGGAGGGGAGGAGGGTGGTGCAAGGGGAATGGAGGAAAGGGAGGGTGGGGCGAAATATGCAGGAGCAGGCTGTGATGCGGGTGCGGGGGATGGGAGAGAGGCGGAGGCAGGTGCAATGGAAGGGAGGGAGGGAGGGGAAGGCAGAGGAGGTTGCGGAGCGGGCTGAGACTCGGGGGCTGAGGCAGCGAACATCTCTGTTGGGGGCAAGGCAAGTACAGGGAGTAGAGAAGAATGGAAAGGGGCATGAGAGCTGGGAGCTGAGATGATAACCAACACACGAGTGTCTGGTTGCCTGAAACCAAGATGAAAATGCCTACGGCCTGTTTGAAAGAGATAGCAAGAGAAAGGAGGGGGAGGGGAGAGGGGGGAGGGGGGAGGAAGGGGGAAGGAAGGGGGCGGAGAGAGAAGGGGGTGCTTGCCTGCGCAGGTCTTGCAGAAGCGAGTGCAGATGGAGCAGAAGGCGGAAGAGGAGTTCTGCCTGACCGTGCACTCTCCCGATGAGGGGCACACGGGCGCCGCCACACTCGAGTTGAACTTGCTGCCACACGAGCAGCGAGAACCGGGACGGTATGGGGAGGGAGGTATGGCGTGGGGTGGAGAGGAGGGACGGGAGGGGAAGGCAGGGGGAAAAGGGGACATTAGCTAGGTGAACGGACGATAGGAGATGTAGTGCATGGTATGGGATGGGATGGGATGGGATGGATGGGATGGGATGGGATGGGTGTGTTGTGCAGCGATTGACTGACTCACAGGCTCCGTAGATCTGTAAGGTTGCCCAGTGACGGAGGGAGAGCACCTGTAAGAGAGTTGTTACTGATATCCCTGCAATAGGGTGGAGGAGAGGAGAAGCAGGGGGTGATGGCACGTAAGCGACTGGATGGAGAGAAAGGCGCGGATGGTTGCTTGTGGTGACGCTGCTTGTTAGGGCGCGGCCGGAGAGGATGAAGCACGCGATGCCATGACTCATGACAACGCGTTGTGGAGTGCGGTGGAGGACGGTGAAGCGAGGTTTTAGCATGGTGAAGTGGCCAAGCATGTCCCGCATCACTGTTTCGGAATTCGAGATTCATCGAATTCACTCCACAATCAAGCAAGCAAGCCTGCAAGCAGGCAAGCAAGCATGCGAGCGAGCAAGTGAGCGAGTAGCGTACAGGTAGTGCAGGGAGAGAAGGTTGCCCATACTGGACGGCACAGACTCGGAGAATTTGTTGCCCGCCAGGTTGCTGCTCCGAGATGGTGTGAGGTGGTGGGGAGAGACGAGAGCCAGGGAGAGGGCAGGATGGGGGGGAGAGAGAAGGGGAGGATGAGTTGGGATAGCGTTGGCTGACATGGGTGAGCATGGGTGAGGGGTGGTGGGAGGGTGGTGAGAGGGTATTGAGAGCGGCAGCGCGTGTGTGTCGGCATGGAGATTAATTATAGCGCGAAAGGCTGAGGGAAACTAGTTAGGGGCAATCCTGGGAGATCGAAGCGGGTGAGAGGGACGGACAGTGGATGGGAGGAGGAGCGTATGTGCTTGACAGCATGGGCCCAGGAGTAGATTATGCAGCCCAGCAATCCAGCACATGCCCATACACGCACACCTGTGCCCTTCTATACATTCACACAAATGCCCATCCATGCATCCATGCGCATGCATGTGTGCGAGGTGGGTGACGCACAGGAAGGTGGTGCGGGTGAGGGAGCCGATGAACTCAGGAATGGACCCGTTCAGCTCGTTCTTCGCCAGGTTGCTGCCACGCACAGAGCCAGCCAGGAAGCAAGTCAGCAAGGCAGCCAGCAAGGGAGGCAGCAGGTAAGCCAGCAAGCCAAAACTTGCAAGAAGAGAGGGTATGCGGTTCGGTAGGTGAGGATAGATGGAAGACCATGGAAGCAATGGGGGGTGCTAGCAGGAGGTGGGAGAGAGATGGAAGGCGTTGGGCGAAGTTGGGCAGACATAGGCGGTCGTGACAGTGGTGGTGGTGGTGGAGGTGCTGGTGGTGGTGCTGCTGCTGCTGTGTGTGTCTGCCACTCACAGGGTGTCCATGTAGGAGAGTTTCTGGAGAGAGTGCGGAATGGTGCTGCCCAAGTGATTGCCGCTCAAGTCCCTGGTGACAATGCGACACAACAACAAAGTGCGAAAGTAAGCATGCAGAGCGTGTGTACGCAAGTAAACGCACAGTATCATGCAGCACAGGAGAGAGAGGCACAGCAGAGAGTACTCAACAGGCAGTGCAAACATGTGGCAGATCACCACCGGAAACAATAGGCTGCTTTCTGGGCTTGCTGTAGCCCCTGCGAACCCAGAGAGCACACCACAACATGTACTTCCCTCACCAGCTTTTCTTTTCCTCCCCGCCCTCCCTGCCCTCCCTGCCCTCCTTTCCCGCCCCCGCACCTGCCCCACGCTCCAACTTCCTTCACTCGCCTAACTCGTCCCACTTCCCCCACAAGTCCTACTCCTCCTACTCCTCTCACACGGCGCACTCACAAGTACGTCATGCGAGTGAGCAGGCCAATAGAGGAGGGGATACTGCCGGCCAGCCTCATGTCCACCAGGCTCCTGCGCTCCCCCGCACGCACGCACGCACGCACACGCGCGCGCGCACACACACGCACACGCACACACACGCACGCACACGCACGCACACGCACGCACACGCACGCACACGCACGCACGCACACGCACGCACACGCACGCACACACACGCACACACACGCAAAAGCGAATCATGCGCAGTTTGAGGAGAGAGAGACCATTGCGAGTGGCGCAACAAATCAAGTGGGCACGATGCCATGGTGGTGTGGTGGCATGGGAGAATATGCTCCTCCTGCCGGTGTGGTTGAGGTGTGGGGGCGTGGTGCTGGGGTGCGGTGCGGAGTGGCGTGTGGCACCGAGTGCGAGTGCATTACTGCTACTCTAATCTTCCTCAAATGCTGGTAACCACGTGGCCGTTCTAGTCGAATCAGAAGGTAAGTAAACGTCCGGTACTAAATTCTACTACTCCTACTGCTGCTGCTTCCTCCCCCACGAGCCTCACATGCTGGTAACCATGCCGTCTTCGTCACACGTGACGAGCTCCGCCTGGAAACACTGCGAGCTGTACGACCACCCGAAGAAGTCCGCCTTCCACTCCTTCATGCACTGCAGCAGCACCGCCGCTTGCGCGCACCCACCAACGCGCCATAAGGAAAGCGGGAGGGGGGATAGGGGCGGGATGGGGGAAGCGAGAAGGGGGGAGGGAGGGGGAAAGAGAAAGAGAGTGGGAGTGGGAGGAGCGGAGGAGGCGGGGAGGGAAAGAACAGCCGTAGAAAAAACAGAGTTGCGTTAGTGCATGATGATTGTGTCGGCGGTCGCGCGTCGTAGTAGTAGCAGCACGCGGCGCGAACGGGCTGTCGGATTGACTCAACTCATAAGTACTAAGTTGCACTTTTTATTCCCCCAGGTACTCTAGCATCGTATAGCACAACATGGCACAGTAAAGCGCTGCGCAGCACAGTATACCTTGCGACGGCTCCCATTTTCTCCCTGCGGCCAACGCGAATAGCCCCAGCAGAACGCACGCGACGGCCCACGGCGTGACGACGGAACGTTGCGACGACGACGATGACGACAACGAGTGCGACAACGGCGACATGGCTGCTATCCCTCTGCTGCTTTTTTGCAAAGTCATCAATGCAAACCTCTCAACGTGCTTTTCTCCATTCCGACTAACGATGGTGTTATATGAGGTGCTCCTTGTGGTTACGGTGCCTGCGGCGTTTGCGGTGAGGACGGAATCAATCAGGTCGGAGATCGGTGTGAGCGAAGCGGGAGCGAACAGCAGGGGCGTGGAGTGGAGACAAATTGAAGGAGTGGCGAGCGAAAGACACACCGCACCGCACTGTCCATTTGACAAAAGCTGGATGGATGGAGGGAAGCAGGCAGCAGAGGGAGATTCAAATTCACCCCTTGCAGGAACACGGGGCAACTGGGAGGAGGCAAGAATTGCGATGCGAGGGCGAGAAGTGAGTGAGGGAGCCATAGGGTCCACGCGAGCAAAATGTTGTCGAGGCGGGTCTCGCAGGTTGATACGCGCCGCAGGTTGGGCTAGCGTGCTCAGGAAACCTGATTATTGAGTTTGTCGGAAGACATTGTGGTACATAGTACACATTGTTTTCTGTTCCCATCTTGTTTGCTGTTCTATCTTGTATATAATAATTTTACAAAATCATTCAACCTTGCCACGATAATATACCAACACTCTGAAAAAGATGACAGCGGGTAGCGAGCAGTCACAAACACTACTCCCACGCCCCCCCATTCACAGTCTATCCCTCAAATCCACCTCAAAGTAGTATTTCTACAGCAGCATGTTCAGCGCCATTGCTGACACCAGGGAGGCCAGCAGCGTGCCAACGCCAACACCATAAATAGCTCCAGCGTTGGGAGGCGGAGGAGGAGAAGGCACCGTGGCGGCAGGTGCGCCAGGTGCAGAAGGAGGGTCAACCTTGGGAGGAGGAGAGGCACTGAGGGGGGGAGGGGAAGCTGTGACAGGAGCAGGTGGAGGAGAAGCTGTGTTGGGGGGAGGAGCAGGCGCGGGGGGAGATGCGACTGGGGGAGCGACGGTTGGAGCAGGAACAGGAGCGATTACAGGCGGTGAGGCGGGTGCAGGCGTAGGTGCGGCAGAAACGGGGGCAGGAGCGGGGGCAGGAGAAGCAGCAGGAGGAATGACTGGAGCTGCAGGAGATGGTGCAGGAGATAAGACAGGGGGCATGGCAGGAGATACAACAGGGGGGGGCATGGCAGGGGATACAACAGGGGGCATGGCAGGGGAGACGACAGGGGGCATGGCAGGGGAGACGGCAGGGGGCATGGCAGGGGAAGGCGACGTGGCAGGGGGGGGGGCAGTGGCAGGAGGGGGCGCAGTGGCAGGGGGAGGCGCAGTAGCGGGGGGAGGCGCAGTAGCAGGAGCAGGAGCCGCGGCGGACTTAGTGTTCGCTGCAGGAATCAACCACACAAGGAAAATGCAGGAAAGATCACAATGAATTGCTGGGAACAGTACAAGTCATACAGAAAACAAAACTTTTAGAAAACATATGCATGCAAGGTCCAGAAACCAGGCTTGTTTCAAGGGCTCACTTCCAGGGGGCGTGCAGACTTGGCAGAAGGTGGCGCACGTCTGGCAGAAGGCAGAGGTGGCAACCTGGTTGACCGCACACACTCCCGCTGCCGCACACAGCACCTTGGATGGCCCCGTGGAGTTCACAGTGCTGCCCCCACAAGGCGTAGGCCGTAGCGCAAGGGTGGGGAAGGGAAGAGGGGGAGAAAAGGGGGGAGGGGGGAAGGAATGGGGGTGGGAGGTTGAAGGGAGGGGTGAAGTGAGGGGGATGGGAGAATGGTTGAACAGGGATGTGGCATGCAAGTGAAACGGTGCCTAAGTGGCACCGTGGTTTGGTATGGCAAGTGGAGGTTGTTGTGCAATTGGAAAGCGAGTGTGACTCGGTGAGAGGTGAGAGGTGCGTACAACTGCTGGAGCTTGGCTAGCTTGCCCATGATCGCTGGCACGGTGCCCGTGAGCGAGTTCTCACTCAGATCCCTGTGAGTGATCACAGGCAGGAAGGCAGACAGACAGACAGAGAAGCACACACGCACACAGGCGCAGGCAGGACGAGTAAGGGGGTACAGAAAGAAGAAAACATAGGAGAGTGCTAAGGATATGCTTGAGTGTAGCAATGCTTGCAAGGATGCTACAAACGTTAACCACTCTTAACGGCAAGCCCCAGCAGCAGCAGCAGCAGCAACGGATCACACACTGGCAAGGCTGGCGGAACAGAGAAACATGTCCTGCAGAAAGATGAATGAACACATGAGATGGCAAGGAGACAGCGGGTTGGTAGTCCTAGACTCACAAGTAGACAAGTGAAGCGAGGGCGCCAACAGTGGAAGGGATGCTGCCTGTAAGCTTATTGGCCTTGATGAGCCTGTGCATGGTGGGACAGAACGGGTAGCACGCGAGGGCAGCACAGGCAGCACAGGCAGCGCAGGCAGCACAGGCAGCACAGGCAGCACAGGCAGCACAGGCAGCGCAGGCAGCACAGGCAGCACAGGCAGCACAGACAGCACAGGCAGCACAGGCAGCACAGGCAGCACAGGCAGCACAGGCAGCACAGGCAGCGCAGGCAGCGCAGGCAGCACAGGCAGCACAGGCAGCACAGGCAGCACAGGCAGCAGAGGCAGCACAGGAGGCCAGGAGGCAGAGGAGACGAAGCAAGGGAGGAGTTTATGCAGCGAGATTGGGCGGGGCAAGGGTGGGCAAGGTTGGGGCAATGGCGAAGCAATGGTGGGGCAATGGCGGAGCAATGGTGGGGCAATGGGGGGAGCAATGGTGGGGCAATGACGGAGGGCAAGGGAGGGGCAGGGCTGGCGGCACTGCGTACAGGCTGGTAGCTTTGGTGAGGGAGAAGAGCGTGGGAGGAATGGGGCCTGAGAAGGCGTTGTTGTTGAGCGTGCTGCCATGGCAACCAGGGGAGGGCAGGTTGTTGTGGGGGTTAAGCAAGGGGAGGTGACATGCCACCATCCCTCCCACGCCAGCCAGAATGGTGGAATGTGGCGTGGAAGGGTGGTGTGCCTGCCAATGAGGGGCAAAGGTGGAAGAAGGATGGGATTGATGGGCGCGCGGGGTTGCGGGGACGCAAGGAAATGGGGACAATGAAGTGAAAACGGAAGGGAGAGGCGACAAGGAGGGAGGACGACTTCAGGTGTCTTGCCTAATCAGTTTGGGGGTGCGGTGGAAGGGGGGGAGGGTTGAAGTGGTGTCGTTAGGAGGAAGAAATCGGTAGAAGAATTGTGTGGAGTGTAAGTGGTTGTTGGAGGAAGCAGCAGGAACAAGACTGTAGCAGCTCACAGGGACTCGAGGGCAGGCAGGGCGCCAAGAGTGGCGGGAAGAGGGCCGCTGAGTTTGTTGTAACCCAGGTCACTGCAGCATGCCATGCGATGCCATTGCCATGCCACGTCATGCCGTCCCATGCCATGCCACGCCATGCCACGTCATGCCGTCACATGCCATGCCAAGCCATGTCACACCATCGCCATGCCAATGATTCGTTGCATTAGTTGTTGTGTGAGGGTTCCAATCTGAGCATGCAACAGAAAGACGATGGATTGAGCACAGTGCAGTGCAGTGCAGCAGCTGCAGCGGCAGTGACACCGAGTGATATGCAAAGATGACACAGTAGCGGCATGGGGGGAGTGCAAAGGAAGGGGGGAACGGCATGAGCATGAAGACTGTGAAGTGGCAGTAGTCGCACTGCACTGCAGTGCAGCAGCAGCTGGAGCACCCTTTGACATGGCAGTGTAATGTGCAAAGGTAGAAAGACAGTTACGACTGTGGATGCAATGTGCTATATAGAGCATTTTATCCTTAGAAAGAAAGAAAGAAATAATAATAATAAAAAAAGAACAACAACAAGTAAACAAATAAACAAACGTGGAAAGAGCAGTAGGGGCATGGGGCGCGCAGCACGGTGGGAGTGGCATGGTGAGAGCGGTACTGACAGCATGGAGAGCTTGGCGAGGCCAGAGACGCTTGCGGGAAGGGCGCCTGTGAGAGTGTTGGTACCCAAGTTGCTGGGAGAGGAGGGGGATGCAGGGACAGGGGAGCGGGGAGGGGGAAGTGGGGAGAGGGAGAAGCGAGGGAGGGTGGGAGGAGTTGTGATTGGGATGGCGAGTGGGTAGGGGAGGAAAGGTGCTGGGGATAGGGGGTGGGAGGGAAGATGATAGAGAGAGAAAGCGGTGGCAAGACAGAAACAGGGTGCGGGGGGGTGGGGGTTTGAGGAGAGGTGGCTAAGCTGGCGGAGAGAAGGAGGGGGAGAGGAGAGCACGGTCAGTGGAGCAAGGGGAGGAGAACAGTGGAAGCAGAGCAGGGAGAGGAGCGAGCAAGGCAAGGGCTGGGGCAAGGCTGGACGGAAAGGCTTACAGGGTCTGCAGAGTGGCGAGATTGCCCAGGGCCGGCGGGAGCACACCGGAGAACTGGTTGGACTTCATGTTGCTGCCAGGGGCGGGAGGAAGGGAGAGGGGCAGCGGGTGGGGCAGCGGGTGGGGCGGCGGGTGGGGCAGTGGGTGAGGCACATCGGCAGGACTTGAAACTCAGGGTTTGTGGTTTAAGAGGAGAGGCAATCTGTCATGCAGTGCGTTCAACGGAGAGGAGGGGTGCTTGCCGGTGGCATGGGCGGGCGCATGCGGAGGAGCAGGAGAGGCACTGACAGGTAGGTGAGCTTTTTGAGTGTGGCGAGGCCCGCAGGGACGGGCCCTGTGAACTGGTTGTACTGCACGTTCCTGGAAAGGAGGCGGAAGGGGAAAGGGAGGAGCGGAAAGGGACTTTTGAGTCGACTCAAAAGTCAATGAGGCCTGCAGGGACGGGCCCTGTGGAGGGTTGTTCCTGAGGGAAGGGGAAGGGGAGAGATAGGAGTGGAGAGAGGGAAGGGGGGTAGAGGGGGAGGAAGCGGGGAGAGGGGGAAGCAGGAGAAAGAGGGAAGAGAGGGAACGGAGGGGGATCCGGCAAGGATGGGGGTGAAGAAGAGAGGCACGCGCGCACGCACGCACGCATGGGCAGGAGCAGGAGTTGGGAGGTTTGAGACATGTGAATGCAAGACAGGCCTTGCTTGGGACGCAAGCTGGACATGCATTAGATCAAGTGGCTGGGGTGGCGGCTGATGCAGACATTGTGATGGCTTGGTGATGATGATGACTAGCAAACACATGAAGAGACTGTTGGTGCGAGCAACGGAAACGGGGACCGGGAAGTAGAGAGAGAGAGAGAGAGAGAGAGAGAGAGAGAGAGAGAGAGAGAGAGAGAGAGAGAGAGAGAGAGAGAGAGGAGGACAACGGATAAGAGAGGAAGAGAGCGAGAAGGCTGCAGCAAGCAGGTAGAGAGGGCGTAAGAAGCGGGAGGGAGGGAGGCACGCACAAGTAGGCGAGCGAAGTGGGCAGGCTGGTGAGCTCGCCTATGAACCCGTTGGTGCTGAGATCCCTGCTCATCATACAACACGCAGACAACGTACACCATCAGGAAGAAAAAAACATGGAGTGTAAGTGTTTTCTTTTTTTTAAACAACATTAGGCTCAAGCCTCAACGACTGGGTGTTGAGATCCCTGCACTGCACATGCCGCACGGAGACACATCAGGGATAAATGGAGCGCGGGCTACAGATGAGAGCGGCATGGGAAGGACCGGAACGGGGACATGACGAAGAGTTTTCTGAGCTGAAGTGAGAGAGGAAGCGTGACTGCACTGGGACAGGTGATGAGTGATGGAAGAGATTTGAGGCGCCTTTGTATTGGTATTTTATTATGTCTGTTTATATTTTTCCTGCTGCAGGTTTCTTTGAAGTGCAGGAGGAGGGTTACAGGTAGGAGAGTTGTGCAAGGGTGTTGAGTAGCGGGACCATGCCGTTGAAGTTGTTGCGTGCCAGACTCCTGGTGCCATGCGCACACATGTACGTACAGATGCACATGCATGTGCACACAAGCACATGGACATGCACGCGCGGACACACACATGAACACACATGCAGGCTCACGCACTCACCGCAAACACACACGCACACATAGGCACACGCGCACGCAGACAGAAGAAAACAGTTGTGTGAGCAATTTGGGTGGATCCGCGTTGCGCGTGGATGGATGTGGCTGCGCGTGTGTTTGCGGGAAGATACGAGAGGGGAATATAGAAGAGAGAGTGGCAGGTCAGAAGAAGGAAACGAAGGGTATCACGGGAATGCGCGCTTGAAAGAAGGATAGGCGGAGGATGTGGCGCCATTGAGTCGACTTTTAAGTGATAGGATACAAAGAATAGATATGGCGAAACAGGAAGCGCGAGGGTGCGAAGGTGCAAGAAGGGCGCAAGAAGGTGCAAGACGGTGCGAAAGGGTGGGGAGGAGAAGGAGGGCGTGGAGGGCGACGGCAAGATCGAGGGTGGTGTGTGCGAGGTAAAGTAGCACGGCGTAGGCATGATACTTACATCCACTGAAGCTTGTTGGCGATTCCGACGGTGATGGGAATCCCGCCCGTCAGAAAATTGTACGTGAAGTCACTGCTCCCACCAGCACACAGCATACCCACATGCACGCACGCACGCGCGCACCCGCATACACGTGTGCACGCGCACACACGGGTACACCCGCATGCGTGCGCACACCCCGCATACACGCGCATACCCGCACGCACGACGCAAACACGACAAAAGAAACAAGAGAGGTGAGAAAAGTAGAAGATACAGCGTCTGCGCGGGTGGCAAGACAGAGATGCCCGAGAATCGCGCGACGAGCACGCGTGACTCCCATCGAGCTCCCGCACCCTCCCGCACCCTCCCGCACCCTCCCGCACCCTCCCGCTCCCCCCCGCTCCCTCCCGCTCTCGTCCTTTCCCGGTCCCGTCGTCGCACGATCTGCGCTTCTCGCCGCGCGATGGTGATCACCATGCACGACCAGTTATTCTTCCATTCATCCCATATGTCCCGTGTCACCCTTCACTCACAGCATGGTCAACTTGTCGAGCATGAATAGGCTGTCCGGGAGGCTGCCTTTGAGCCCCGATCCTGTCATGTTCCTGCCGCAAAGCACGGCGGGACATGCAGACGACACGGGGAGGGAGGGATGGAGAGAGAGAGAGAGAGAGAGAGAGAGAGAGAGAGAGAGAGAGAGAGAGAGAGAGAGAGAGAGAGAGAGGGGGGGGGGGTGGGGGGGGGGGAGGAGGGGGGGGAAGGAGGGGAGGAGTGAGGGCAGATGGACAAGGAGAGGAAGGGCAGAAAGTTCTCCAACGGAGGCTGCGGCAACGACTGCCGGCATTCTTCGATTGAAAATGCCGGTTAACGACGCTCGGGTGCAGACAGCAGCCCGCGGCGGGATATCGCGCCGTCTATATCGCGCGGGTCGCGAGTCGCGACTCACATGGAGGTCACGTATCCTGCGGCGTCGCACGTGATCTTCTCCGCCGTCGCACAGTTCGCTCCTGCCGTCCATCCCGTGAACGTCTTGCCCCATGCCGTCTGACACGCCTGCAGGATGGTCACTGCGCGCCGAGCAGGGGCGATAAACGAAGACAGGCGAGAAACAAAAAAGTCGGTCGTGGAACGAAGACTCGGGGACGCGAATGACGGGGAAGGGGGAAAAAGAATGGAACGTGAGGGGGAGTAGGGAGTAGAACGAGGAATCATGGGGCCAGCGACCAGGCAAAGCCGTAGGATACGGACGGCAGAAAGTGCCGGGATATAGCATACAAAAGGAAGATCGCTGAGCGAGATTGAATTGAGAGACGGGTCGAGCAAGTCGCGTGAGCAACGACGAATCTCAGGGGGGAACAGATATGAGATGTTTTCAGCAAGAATAGCATTAAAGACTCCTCCTTTTATCCAGATTTAAGTGAATACACTGAGATTCCTCCTTTGTAAGGTCGACTGAGGTCTGCACCAGTGATTGCTGTATTGGTTTACCTTGAGTGGGGTCGATGACGGCAGCCATGGCCATGTTGCTGCAGCACAGCAGCAGCAGCACGCCGCTAAGCACGGCCGCCGAGGTACGCGTTGTCGGACCCATTTGCGGAATGTCAGGCGGTGAGGAGCGGCAGAGGGGGCGCGGCGGAACTTGGTAGAGGAGGACGGCGCAGGTGAACTCCAAACCAATCTCTTGAATTTGAGCTGGGAATTACTCTTGAGAACTTGCCGTCGTCCTCTCCTGCACGGGTTGCTGGAATGCTCCTGATTCAAAGCCGTTGGGGTGGGTGGGTCCCCCTGGCCAGACAACGTTGGTGGTGGAGGTGAAGTTGTTGCCGTGAATCTCCGTTTTGTGCATCCGCCATACCGGTTTCACCAAATGGCCGTTGCTCATTTGGCAGAAGTGCGGGAGAGAATCGTTTGACTCGGAGCTGCTGATGTGTTTGAGATGTTTGTGAAATGTTTGTTTCTTGTAAGGCTATCCTTCCCTGACTGTACATACTTATGTAGTTATGTTTTCGTGAGGCATGTGACCTCTGGAAGCGAAATCAAGCAACAGTGAGGTGTGACGCAAAGACCCCCCACCCAAAGAATTTCTGTAGGGTTTCCAGGAAACAAAAGAAGTGGTATCTCGCAGTCGACGGGATGACCCATCCATCCATTCTGGCCAGAAATCTGGAAACAAGAACCGGGGAATCCGGAGATTGGAGGGCGATTTGTGTGTGCTTCCAGCTTCTTCTGTAAGGAATTTTCTCGGCATTCCTTACGGAACCGTTGTTCGCCCGTTACTGCTAACGGGGCTTCGCCGACTTCGCGCGCACTGTTTCACCAAACCTCGCACTGCTGGCCTGGCCGTGTCGGCCTACGCTTCGGGACTAGCCCGAGCCTCGCTCCGGCGTAGCACTAGCTAGCTCGCACGCACCGCGTTACCGTTTGCATGTTTCGCTTATAATTGTCGCTCATGCCTTCGCTCACATTTTGTACTCGTTTGACATCTTAGTGCAATTCTCGCTAGTTCGATTCATTGCACCCGTAACACTTGGTATTCAGAGCCTCTTTCTTTCGGACCGCGCATCTCCGCACCCCAGGAAATCAACTTTTGATTTTTCACTCGAAGGGACTCACGTACCTTAGCACCTAGGAGCCGCTGTCATCGCGTTCTCTCGTAAACGCGTACAGCCACGACTGCGCCTAGACTAAGACGAGCCGACGCCCTTCGAAATGGCTGAACACATCGACGTCACGACACTCACGTAGGAGCACTTGAACGATCTGCTGCGACAAATCCGCGAGAGCGCCGAGGAAATCGCGACGCTGACGGCAGAACGCTCGTCCCTACAAAACAACCTCACACGAGCACAATCCCAAGCACCTGGCACTTCGATTCAGCCCAAACCACAAACATCACAGCACGGAAGTGTGGGGCAACCCGCGAGCGCCGCAAGTGATGGCGTCGTCCGCCATGACGGAGACGACGACCACGGCACAACACACCTCGACGCGACGAATGCGGCCATGACTCAGCCTCAAGTCACGATTTCAGTGCCGGCCGGCGGATCAACTCTTCCGTCGCCGATGCCGCTAAAGCCGCAGCGTCCGCCATGCTTTGACCCAAGTCAGCGAGGTGGTCCTACCGTTCAGGCGTGGCTCTTCACGTTGAACGTTTTCGTGGACGTGAACAACGTCTCGGAGGATACGGCGAAGATTCGTTACGCCGTGTCGTTGCTGCGAGGACCCGCCATGGCCTGGTGGCGCGTCATCGTCACGAAGCCGGCGGACTACGCAACTCTACCGACAAGGGAAGGACAGACCGGACCCTGGGCGCCGTCGCATTTCGTGGAGGTGCCCCAGTCTCGCACGTGGGACGCGTGGAGCGCAGGTCTGCGTGCTCGTTCCGAGCCAATCGCGGCTTCGATCGCGGCGCGACAGAAGCTCCGCACTTGGCGCCAACTCGGTTCCGTCCAAGACTACACGAGCGGATTTCTGGCGCTATGCGGGCAGGTGGGATATATGCACGAGAGCGAGCGCATCGACCGCTACATCGGCGGCCTGAAGCAGGACATCGCTCAGGAAATCCAGCTCCGCAGCGTCACTGACTTTCAAGAAATTCTCGCCATGGCGGAGAAACTTGATTTCTTCCGCCGACCGAGACCGGGGTCCTACGGAAGCAGCCATTGGGGACATCGGCCTCGTGGGACGAACGAGGGCGCCACGATACGTGCCGTCACCGCAAATGCCGCTGCCGCACCGTTCAAAGGGCGCTGCTTTGCGTGCAATCGGCCGGGACATCGCAAGAGCGAATGCCCGGAAAACGCTAAGGGAAAGGGGGAAGCTGAGCAGCAGAAACAGACCAAGCAGCAGGGAAACGCTGGGAGTCAGTAGCTGACGGGCCCTCTACTGACAGGTCACGCCGCTCGCCCGACCCAACCTGTCAGAACATTATAGCTTATGCTTTTGTGTAGGTTGTAGTGGGGTAGCCCATATGGGGTACAACCCAATTAGGGTTAGTACTTGTACCCTACTCTTTCATAGTGCATTCATTCTCATTTCAGTTTTCTCATGGTATCAAGCAGGTTCCCTCGTGGGAACTGTTCCTGGGGCCCACCGATTCGATTTTTTTTTCCTGCCCGGAGCGCGCTCAGCCCTTGCCCGAGTCGCGCTCCCCCTTTCTCAATGTGTCGCGCCGCCCTTGACGGCCCCGATCCGCCGCCCTAGCGGCCCCGTCGCCTACCCCGCGGCCCTCGAGCCGCCCTTCCCGGCCCCGATTCGCCGCCCTTTCGGCCCCGTCGCCTACCCCACGGCCCTCGCGCCGCCCTTCCCGACCCGGCCCCGCCCTTGCTGGCCCCGTCGCCTACCTGCGGCCCCGTCGCCTACCTGCGGCCCCGTCGCCTACCTGCGGCCCCGTCGCCTACCTGCGGCCCCGTCGCCTCCTTGCGGCCCCGGCGCTGCCCTTCCCGGCCCCGACGCCTGTTGAAATGAATGAACAGGAATGATTGAACTAACAGTGAAATCAGTACAAGTACCTAACCCTAGAATTGTGTACCCCCTATAGGCTAACCCACTGTAGCCTAAACAAGCACTACATATATAATGTTTGACACACCCCCATAGGCGAAGTGGGGGAGAACTAGGGGTCACAAGACCAGTCAAGTAAAGCAAAGCAGAGCAAGCTCAGGGTGGATCACAAAGTCACCACACATTCCGAGCACAAGTTCAGGGCCACAAGGCCAGTTCACATGCAGGAGTACATATATATATAAGGCTAGACAAGCAAGAACAGGTATATATATATGTAACAGTACAGGCAAGGTCAAGAGGTGAGCAAGTGAGGCAAGACAGGTACAAGACCCAGCTGGGTGCAGAAGTGCTGATGATCACAAGGCGCAAGTGCCTTGGTGAAGACATCAGCAGTGTTGGCCTCAGAGGCCACCTACGCAAGCCGCAACTGACCACGCAGCTGTAGCTCACGAGCAAGGAAGTAGCGGAGAGCAATGTGCTTTGTTCTGTGCTCCAGTCTCTGCTCTCGACACAAGGCCAGCATGGCCTTGTTGTCTACGTACAGGACTGGAGGAGAACGAGGCGGCTCTCCAAGGTCGGTCAGTAGGTAGGTGAGCCAGCAAAGCTCCTGAGCAGCCATGGCCCCTGCGTAGATACCAGCCTCACAACTGGAGCCGAGAACAGAAGACGAGCGAGTAGCCCGCCATGAAACAGAGCCGGAACCAAGGCTGAAGGTGTAGCCCTGTGACGACCGCTGTGTAGCCTGATCGTCAGCCCAAGAAGCGTCTGCGTGACAAGTGAGGACCACTGGACTCCGCCCTCCAAGCACTAGCCCCATGCCCGACGTACTGCACAAGTAGCGCAACACCCTCTTCGCTACAGCCATGTGCTATGGTCTGTGTCTCCCAGGAGCAACATAGAGTGCGAGAATGCTAAGAGGGTATGCAAGGTCAGGTCGTGTGCAGGTCATCAGGTACATGAGGCAGCCAACAAGCTCTGGGTACGGGCCACTCGACTCTACGGACTCATCCGAAGGCAGAGCTGAGAGCGAGTGGCGAGTAGGCAGAGGAGTGGCCTTAGGCGAGGAGTACGTGAAGCCGAAGCGCTGAAGGACCTGCTGCACCATGTGTGACTGAGTCAGGGTGATGGTGCGGCGTGCTCTGTTCCGGGTGATCTGCAAGCCAAGGTAGCTGCGCAGTTCACCCAGGTCTGTGCACGTGTGTCTCTTCTGCAGCTCAGACTTCACGTAGGCGAGTCCAGCAGTGTTAGCTGTGGCAAAGACCAAGTCGTCGACGTACACGAGGATGTAGAACGGCGGCAGAGAAGTGTCGGTGCGTAGAAACATCGACGGGTCGGCAG